TCACACACTGCTGCGGTGGTGGCAAATTATGTCAAGAAGCATTTTACCGCCACCACAGCAGTTAGTGCAAAAGTTTAAGATATTGAGTTCAGTTCAAATGTTTTAAACTTACTGTTTGATTTTCAAATGGGTTTATAAAATCACTAGTTACAATCTTGATTAAATCAATGCGCAATGAATAAAAAAAACCTTTATTAATCATTATTTTTTTTAATGCACATACAATTTTTAAATTACTACTCAAAATAATTTTCAATGAAACAGTTTTATTTGTTTAACTTAATAACCTAGAGTTACTGCAACTTTAACATTGCACTTAATATTTTGTACCTGCACAATTAAATGGTTGTGTCACTTTAATAAATCATAATAATTTTTGGGCTTAAAAATACATATTTATTGTTGAGACTATTTCCTTAACCTAAGTATACATGAACAATACTTATAGATTGATTTGTTGTATAAAGTTATTATTTTTTAGTATTCATTAATAAATTACTGAGTTCATAAAAAAATCTAAAAATTAAGACATATACTAGGTACTTATAAGTAACACAAACTTGAACACGTGTAGTCTGTTAATATTAAAATAATCATAAAAAAAAAAATTGAAACGTATAAATTAAAACTTATTAAGTATAGGTAGAAATACATATTTTATAATAATGCCTTCATAATAATAAGTAATTAAAATAATAACTATCTAATTTTACCAAAATATTATGTTTTAGTCACTTACATAAATTAATTTTCTTATAAGGTTTTTTTTCAAACATTTTAATAAAAAAAAAATATTTTAAACCATATAGGTACAATTAGGTATAATAAATTAGTACATACAGTTTTAAGTTATATTGGACACTTATGTTAATGACCAATTAACTACAATAAGTAAAAGTTAACTCAGGGGCGGATGTATGCCATACTAAACAACTGTCTGGGATGCACATATTTTGGGGAATAGAAATAGAAATAATATGATGTATAACGTATATTTTTTATATATTATAAATCTGTATTATAAGTTAGGGCATATTAAGGTCTAGACAGATAGAGCTTAAGACACTTTTGGTGTTTGCGGTAATAAATCTGCCCCTGGTTTAAATAGCATATAAAATGAACACAAATGGGTAATAAATAAAAAAAAAAACCTACTGTGGTACCTAATAATTTATTAAATATATTCAAGTTTACAAAATGAATTCACATTCTATGAAAATGAATGATTATATTAACCCTACCATTACTAGGTACTAATTTTCACATTGCAACTTCAATAATAATACAAATGTCTTAGTTTTTCAAGAAAAAATCTCAAGCAATTTGTTTAATATTTATTAATGAGAAACACAATTCTACATCAACTATATTAAACAAGTGGTTTGTACATTTGAGACACATTGTATTAATAAAAGAACAAATCAGTTCAACATTTTTAGTTTTTGTAATGATATGTTTCATAAGATATTATTACCATAATATATGAAACAATTACAAGTTAATATTTTTATAATTTCTAAATTTAATTAAATAAGATTATACTTACAATAAGTATTTACAATATTATTCAAAATAGAATAAAAACAAAATTATTAATTAATCATATTCATATAATATACATTACTTTTGTAACTCACAAGTCATAATATGGTGAGTACACAGGTGATGAATAAAATCTATAAAAAAGAAAAAAGTTAACACATGTCTTAAGCATATCATCAAAACCGTATGATGTTAATGATTACAAATTTAAATACATGCAAAAAGAAAATATAATTTAGAATTGAAACTGATTTAATTATTTAATTTTGACTAACATTTTTTTTAAAAATATAATAAGTATGATAATAAATAGTATTAATAGTAGACTTAAGTATTTTTTTTTCTTTTTTATATATATATATATGTAAATGGTTATTTTAAATAAACAACAAATGTAAGTGATTATTAAAACTCACAGAAATATAAACAAGATTTATTTTTTATAGTTACAAGTTTAAAAATTATGTGAAATATATGCATGTACTCAAGTCTTATTAACAAACCAAGATACTCAGTGTTAAAAAATAAATATCTTTAAATTACATTTTTAGGCTAATAATTTAACAAATGTTGTCAACAACTAAATTATACAAGTATTGTTTTTTATTGGAATAATCAGAAATATATAGACATTCTCACCATAATCTGATTCATACACTAGTTATCTACCCAGAACGCGCAGTTAATTAATTTCTATTTAATTTACATCCATATTATTTTAGTTGGTCAGGAATAAGTCATAAAAGAAAACCATTTTGTTATTTTTCATGCATATTATTCCATACAAATATTTATGCGCTTTATACATTTGTTGATATTGTAACATTAATTCCTAAATTTCCATTATCTGCAAAGAGTTGTGCTGTACTTGTATCAAATACCAAACAGTCTGAATTCAAAATTGCTGTTGAAACTCCTTCATGTATACTTCTTGGTGTTGCCTCCCATGCTAAACGTCTTCGATGTCCATTAAGTTCTAGTCTGTAAGCAAAATTTTCACATTGCTTTCGGCTTCCAATCAATTGCACAATAGCAAAGAACTGTTGGTGGCCTTCATATTTTTCTTGCTTTTCAAGTACAAGCATAAAATGATGGCCAAAACATGATTGCATCATTACCCAATCCACTGCACCGGGAAGATTTATGTCAGTTGCTAAAAATACTATATCTTCTCCTTGTAATGTTGTTATAGATTTATGTGCAACCATTAAGTGTTCCATGACTTGTTCCAACCCACCTTGCCATTTACATGAAGCACCTGGACATGGACAAGTGTATGGGCGACATTCACATAGTTCTTCATGCTCGACTTTTTCAGAATGCAATAATGATACAGGGCAACCCGATGATGAATATTTACAGGGAAACATGACTGTTGAAGCTACTTTTTCCATGGCTAAATTGCGTATGTTTCCTAGTGGACCACGGCATGTTGGGCAACAATTGAGTTTTGGTCGACATGTACTACAAACTAAATGTCCACTTTGGCATTGCAATATTGGAGGTAACACATAATCAAAACAAACAGGACATTCAAAAAGCGAAGCTAAATCAGCAGATATTGAGGCAGAGTTTGAAGCAGAACCACCATTGTGAGAGCTATTACTGCCTACGGCACTTCTTCGTTTAGTCCCACCACCGCTGGGTAATAAAACACTGACAGTGCCAACACTAGCAGTTGGATTGCCGATTGATGTTCCACCACTATTTGATCCACCAGATCCACTCATCCTTGTTTCTTGATCAGTGACTAAATGGTGGTTGAAATCCACAATGCCACTGTTATTGGAAATGGAGGTGTTTTCTGCCATGTAAAGCTAACAAATAATCATGAGAGTATTTAATCAAGTCTTCGGTATTGAAACACATGAGAACTGAACCAATGTAGACCAAATTAATCGTTTGGTATTTAACACGAATTTTTTTTGTCAGAAAACAAACAATAATTTGCAAGACGAAACAACCGCGCATGCGGCGTACTTCTTACCGTTGTCCATTTCTTATTTTGTACTTTTATTTAAGTCTAATTACACATAAATTAAGCTAAAAACATGTAAGTACCTCGCGCGTACTTTGGATGTTATTTTCCCGATTCGCTGTCAATCACGAGCTGCTGTCCTTTATTGATGCACGGTCGCATGTCCAAATTGGTAGGTATAAAAGTAACTTGGACATCCGGCGTCGGCGAATAAAACAAAACTGAACACACTTAATAAGAATAACAAAGTTTGACTACAGTGTTTTTTTAATACGCGAATCAATAGTTATTTCACTTTGTCGCATTGGTAAACAAACGGACATAGCCGAAACGCGTGAAAACCGTAAAAAAAAAACAAATTAGTAAACCTACACTTATAATACGCTATTACCATAGAACATTACCCTGCTATTCATATGACAATCATTTTATCTATTCATCTTCATATTGATACGATAACGACATTGTAGCATTGTACAAGGAGATTACATGGGTTACAGTGTCGCCACTCTAACACTGTTTGTGTACCGCAGTGCATAAAGTAAATAAATAATAATAAATAATAATGATATTATTGTAAAAACTAAAACACGGCACATTTTCAAATCGAATTATTTTCTATTATTTCATGAAATAGTCAAATATTTATTTCATAATAATTAATAATTATAAAACAGCTGTATTGGTCACTTGGCAGTCAGCACTCCGAAAAGCTTAACGATTTCAAACAGTAATACAACTATAAAAAAATAATTAAAATGCGGTACTATAGTGCACTACGATAGTGCGGCACACAGTAGTTGCTAATATTAATCTGCAAACAAAAAAATGTCTGTAAATAAAGTAATTTCAAATCAGTGGATGTTTCAATAACTATTTAGATAAATACATCAACGAATAGCTGACCCGTAGTCATACAACCACACGGTTTAATTATTTTTATTATTTATTTAATAAAATATGATATAGGTAGAATATAGGTAATTGCTATTATGTAACTATTAGAGAGCCGTTTCTTTTTATAGTAAAATATCTGTGTCAATCATAGCCTATAGGTATTATTTTATTTTAAATTATAGTTATCCATGTATGTTGTTATAATCCAAATTTTTATTTTTAACAACAATTATTTATTAACAATATCTATCCATACTTTCCATAATCGATGGAACACCACGATGAGGGGACAATTTAAAATATATACGAATATTATGATGTTATAAATAAAGTGTTTTAAAAAAAAAAATTTTATTTCAAGAATATGATTTAAGCTAGTAATGTATATTATTGGTAGGTGCCTATATACTTGGTTACTATAGCCTCGATATGATAAAACAATAACAGTAACTAACAACATTTTTTCATACTCTCTACTCTTTAGTCTCAAAACTAAAATTAAAATTAAATAGGGTAAATTACATTACTCACCATACTTTTTATCACCTAACAAATCGAAGACAAATATAACTAATCAAATACTATGAACTACGATGTAAAAAAATCTAAAAAATGAGATAGGTATTTAGTAAATAATTAATGTTGATTTGCTTAATAGCTAAATGACCACATGGAATTGGCTAGATACAATCTCAAACAAAAACAAACTAAAAACTGGATAAATGTCACAAGTCAGTCAAAACAGTCAAGTCAGTCTGAACTATATCAAGCGGAAAAACAATCAATGTTTACTGGTGTCAATAATTTTATGACCAAGCTTATAATCGATAAGGATCGTTTGAATAATTCTAGTAGCAAACATTTTATATTTTAAATATAAATAGGTTTTACTTATTAATAAACTAATATTACAATAATATGATTATTCTAAGAATTTTACAAATCCAATTCTGAGGAAAACATGATCTTGGATGATTTTAAAGAACGTATGAAGTCAGCCCATGACATTATTAATCAACTAAATTGTTTGATACAAATAGAAAAATCTGTTTGGATAGCACCAATTTATGAAAATACTCCGAAGGATAGACAAAGTAATTCATTTTGGTATCTATATCTAATTTCCAATGGCATTAGCATCTTAAATTACAGTGAAATGAAAAATATTTTGTCGTACCTAATTTATTGAAATCTTATTTTACATAAAATTATGCCTAGATGATAGTATAAAGATGTATGCATAACATGTTTTTTTTAACAGAAACCAAAAAAAAAAAAATGAAAAATTCATAAATGCATATTATACCTATTGTACCTACTGTTTTCAAACCATTAATGACATAAACTACCTTGATATTCTCCAAAATATGAATTTATTATAATACGTAATCAGTAGCCAGTATAGGGTATTCGAAAAAAAATCCCGGGAAAAAAAACCTGGTACCAAAAATACGTTTAAAAAAACCGGAAAAATTACCTTTAATTAGTTTATTATTCTTTATTATTTATATCTTAATGTCATATTACGCTAGATGTGTTTCCAGATTCTGAGCGGAGCGATGAATGTATTGATTTTACAACGATGTGTGTTTTTTTATTTATTTATATATATTTTTTTTCAAAGCGGCAGGAAAAATAAACAAAAAATTAAGGAAAAACTGGTATTTTTACTCAAACTGGGTTTCGAAAAAATTGATTTTGGTTGTTGGTGTAACTCTATACAAACAAATGACTTATAGTAGATACATGCAATTTTTACTGAATGTTATATATTAGCATTTTCTATACACCATACAATTTTCAAAATATTTTGACTCATGTGGAAGTGTGGAACTATTTATAAGCATATAAAATGTTCGATTATTATTAGTTTTTTTTAACTAGTGACGGTGACAAATGTTTAGCTCCTTAAAAAAACTTGAACCAATGTATTAAATGTTCAACTTTTATAGCTAAGGATTGAAAATTTAAAACGAGGTTTCACGTAAGTAGTAATTCTGTAAGCAAAAAATCTAAAAATAAAAATAAACATAGCTTTTTTAAAAATTATTTTAAGTTCACATTATACAAAAAATAACAATTTTAGACTTTTTGTTCCAAAACAGCTAAATTTTACATAAGTATATATAATATTTTTCCAGTATTACTGATAATTTAAAAGTAATTTTATGAATAATATCAATTCAATTTACCGGTTACCGTACGAACTACAAATAATGAGTAATAACAATATAAAACATCCTAGAATGTCATACCCGATGTCCCCGCTCAGAATCCTTTTTCGTATAGGTACAATGATATTATATCATTGAATTCAAATTTAACGCTATCCATTTCAGCGACCTCCTAATAAATACCTTATGTAGTATGTACAGCAGAGCGTCATCCACTTACCCGCTTTTTTTTATAATTAATTAATAAAATCTCTATACGTAGTAAATAGTATAATTAATTAGATGAAATTATACCTACTAACCTAACTTAGATAAGTATCTACTATATTTTTAATAAATTATTGTCTATTTTCCTATTTTCTGTTTTTATTTCTATTCCATATAATGGTTTCAAAAGTAGTAACATTATTATACACAATTACATAGATATTTTATGTAATTAAAGAAAAACAATATTTTGTGTACGGCTTACAACTTATTTACCATTGTTACTAAATAGTACATCATTCAAAGTACAAAAATGAATAATTATATTAAACTTATTCGAAGCACATCAATACATTATGTCTAAAAGTGCCACATAATTATGTGTTAATAAATAGTCCATGTACATTTGGAATATTTAGAGCACAATCATTGAATATTTAATGTTTGTTGTAAGGTTTTTTTCAGGGTTTTTCCTAGTTTTATCAGTTGTAGCCTGTAGGTACCTAATGTTATTACTTTATAGAATTCCATGAACTGAAAAAGAAAATAAATTGGATGGAGGAATCAATAGAATCAGCTGTTAAAAGATATAATGTAATGAGAATATTTTTAAATCTTCCAAAAGACAATTTATATTCAGAAATAATACATCAAACGCCACCATTTAAACTAGATTATATGTCTAAAAAAAAAAGACAAGAAATAGTATGAATCAAATGGACTACTGTCATGTAGCTACTCAGCCTAAATATAATTATTATTTGTATTGTGTTAAGGAAAATCAATTTAAATTTAAAGAAACAGAACTCATTTTATCCGATTTGCGATCACCAATGGAATTGTTAAATAATAGAATTGTAGATCATGGGATCGGTCCAATTTATCGGTTTCTAAAAAGAAACACATCTGGTGAACAATTTATTTACCACTATTCGTGTACATTGTTTGGAATGTATGGTGAGTGAGTAATGTAATTAATTGCTTTTTTATAATGTTTTTTTGTCTTAAGTTGAAGGAAGTGGTACTAGCAAGTATGAGGCAAAACTAAATGCAGCTAGTGAAATGTTGCGGTCAATTATAAGAAAACAGAAAAAACGAACTCTTTCTTCACACATAAGATCTTTCAACGAAAAGGAGTAAAAAAAAAATATAAAAAACATCTATTTTGCACTTATGAGTAAATATTAAAAACATGTCTATATAGATTGAAAGCCATCGGTCAAATGATTAAGTTTAAAGCAAACTATGTGGAGGTACTTCATAGTGAATGCGTTAAATATTCGTTTAAGCCACCAGTTTATACGCTTATATCACAGCCCAAAAATGACGATCAACTGGTTAGCCATTATTCAATCCAATGCAATGCGATGGACTTAGTGGCGATAGGTATAGTTTAATTTAGATTTCCTAAATTCTGAATTTGATATACCTACATACTTACTTAAAAACAATAATACATATTCACAGGACACAGTAACAAACAATCAACAGCCAAACAAATGGCAGCACACAATATAATGAAACTATGGGAGAAATTGAATTCAAACAGCAACCCCTCCAAGCAGAGCTAAGATAACTAGCTTTTGAAGTACAAGATTATACAATTTTATTGGCATACCACATGCTTCATTTAACAGTTGGCTACACGCTCATTATTTCATAAAATTTTAACTTTTTTCAAAAATATTCTTTTTAAAAATTATTATAATAATTATTATTATTATTAAATTTGATAACATTTAAAAACAACATTTCTAAAAAAAAAAAATTTTATTATTTCTATCGTTATGATTTTTAAGTATTGTACCTTTTTTAAATGACATAATACATTTTAAAATTCATATTTTGCTTCAGAATATGAAATTGAAAATGTATTACTTATGTCATTTAAAAAAAGGTGAAAAACCTAAAAATTATAACGATAAAAAATAGTAAAATTTTTATTTTTATTTTTAGAAATGTTGTTTTGAAATATCATCAATTTATATAAAAAGAATATTTTCGAAATAATGATTGTAAACACTCGAATGGGTAACCTTGTATTTATTATAAAACTATTTTCTTGAGATTTTTAAATTATATTCACAATAATTAATATTTTTTACCTTACTTTATTTAATAGAAAATAATAATTTTAAATTCAATCAATATGCAGTCAATTAATTCATAATAGCTTACCTAGTTTTACATTTATTGTAATGAGTGAAAATTAATCATTTTTTCCAGTTAATTTGAAAAACAATCCTACAAGTCAAATGTCAATATTAAAAATATACATTTATTTTGGAAACGTTAATGCATATATTATATAGATATTTAAATGTACATACGTTACACATAGGTATTTAAATATACCTACATATATAATATATTTATGTATATAATATTTCTAGAATTTATATAGCTATTGAAGTATGTTCAGGAATTGTAAAATAAATATTAGTTTCTAGGTCATGAGCTCAGAATATATATTTAGAATTAGAAGCGAATGGAACTACAAATTCCATGCATCAATGTGCTAATGAGCTTGAGCATAATAAATTAATAAAATCATTGATCTGTTGCCTGTTGGTCACAACTTAAAAGAAAAAAGAAAACATGGTTATAAACCACTAGTTGCATTGTTACAAACTCATTGAAAGTCGCTAGAAGGAATTATTAAACCTGAAAATTAATTAAAATACAGAAATCGTATACATAAGCGTCATCTAGTGACAAAAGTCAGTTGCCTTTCACTTTTGTCGTAGGTGGTTGGTCGATGAAGTTCTTTGCTTGCTGAAAAGTTCATAACGACGACGGTAGAAGACGCTGCCTTTTTAGCAATCATCGGGTCGTCTCGATTTGGTTTTATAGTTAATAAATAAAACCTAAATCGTGGTTAGTTACAAAGTATAATGCTTTTGCAGTTTTGCTCTATGGCTATAATATAGGTTAAAATTGTTATCGCAATCTTGATCAATTCTTGTTATTTAGTTAAGTTTTTCAAATAAATGTAGTTGATTTATTATGATACTATACCCTGTGATACTACAAATTACAATTTAATCTTATATGAGGTATCAATAAAACTAAAAGTTGGACATAACCTAGGTATTTTGTTTTGTGTTAGCTTTTCACTAAGTAATCACTAATCTATAATTTTATTGTAGTGCCTGAAAAGAAATAGCCATACGACTAAGTTTATTGAAAATAATATTGGATAGTAAATTAGGACTAATACCCTAATATAATATATAATAGTTAATAGATCTGCTGTGGAAATTTGATTAATGCAATGATTAATGATTTTCAATAATTTTAAATAGCATTTTAGTATATTATAATTATATTTAAATTTTTGGAATTTATGACGTGTGTGTGAAGTTTTAACTATATTTCATTATTTATTTTATGTTTTTACTTTTTACTAATATTCTAATTATGATTCATGGCTATATAGTACATTTACTTTTATAAATGTTAAATAATATTCAGTATCGTTTGATAGTATCAAGAATTTACATATATTTTTTTTTATTTGAAAATTTACTTTCATCGATTTGAATGCGATAATCATTTTGTGTCACAATTCAATTGTTATTTTTAAATAAAAGATTGTTAATAACGCTGAAGTGTGTGTTCGTTTCAATTTTAAACGGTGCATCTTAATAATATTATGATATTATAAAAAATGTAAACTTAGGAGATAAAATACTCCACGATCGGATGGCCAAAATCTTAAGGAGTTATATGTTGGCAACCGAACGTACAGATGCAAGTCGTCAACACTCATTTTTAATACTGGTTGGCGGTTGCCTGTCACGTATACTGCATGAGATCCTGGTACTTTTGCGATATGGAAAACCTACTAACTACGATCTCTAAAATATTGAATTCGTTGAGGTTCATGGCGTTCATGCTATTTTAAAAGATTAATGCGTTCATATCAATTTTTTTATTTAATTTTTATGAACAGTTTATTACTTATACAAAATCGTGAAATGATATATAAATATTGTTGTTGTATGTCGAGTCGTGCAATGAGTCTGGAATTTTACTGCAACCTATTTTATTTTTATAATTCGTAATCAAATAAATATAATATATAACAGGGATATTATAAAAGAAAAATATTATTAAATAATATTAGAATATTATCATTAATACATAATATTATATTTATAAATACATTTAAACGTCTTAAAAATCATTGAAATTAATTGAAAATATAAACGTTGTCGTCGGGGGCGTACCGAAGAGGATTTTATTGGGGGTCTCGTAAAATTAGTAGTTTGACCAACTCTTTTTTTTTTTTCACAATTTTAAATACACGATCTATACAATATAGCACAATAAGTATATATGATATTATAATAGTAACATGACTATCTTGAATTAAGAAATCACCCATTGGTGACACTTGGCTGGGAATTACGCTGTCTAGACTCTAGAACTTCGTGTTTTGGCCAACTCTAAAAAAAAAAAATTGAACCTTTACAACTTATTTTTGTTATTTTGTTGGAGCAATTTCATCTCGTGCCTACATAATATGTTGTGCCTGATATGTTCTGACAGCCCTGCCCATTTCGAAATATTGGACTTTTTTGCACCAATATTTAGTATGAATTTGCATGATATTGGTTCAACACCTAAACCCAAAACTTGAAGCCCCGGGTTGTCGCAACGTACATAATTTTATCATTAGGCTGTTAAAATGCTTTTAATGTTTTAATTAAATAAGTAAATAACAAACTTAATTTATAATACTAACTATGAAAAAAATATTCACTGCCATCAATTAGGTATAAAAAGAAGGGGGGCAAGATGTGTTTAGGTAACCTACTATTAGTTCTAATGGTAAAATAAATTACTTTAATCACAATGATATCATATTATATACCTTTTTTAGTAGTATTATAGGAGAACCGTCTTCGCTTAGAATCGTTTTTCGTATACATCGATTTTATATCATTAAATTCAAATTTAACATATCCATTACAGTTACTTTCTTCTCTCTAGTCTCTAGACACCTAATGTGCAGCAGTGCGTTACACATTTACCACTTACCCGCTTTTTAATTTTGAATATATCAACAATTTTAAAGGTGTAATCGTATCTAATAAAAACAAGGAATTATTGTTAGCTTTAGCACATCTATTTCTGCTTTATTTACTTATGACTTGAATCGCTCATTTAAAAAATGACATACAAAAAGTTGTACAGCACAGATACTAAGCCCACTAAAGATGTACTTTTCCACAAGACTATAGTTAATTGTTAATATTTATTCTTTATAATATAATAAAATAAATAAATATTAATAACAGTATAAAATAAATATTTTCAAAATAATTGCACTGAATCTGTAATTACAGAATTGAAGATGTTTATTACTTTTTTAAAAATAATACTGATTAAAGTCATAATATAATTGATAAGAATATGGTACATAATTAAAGTTGTAAATAAAACAATAATAGCTTTTATTAATATTCATAAACTTTTTTGATTTAGAATCATGGCTATTTTTTTATAGTAGATTACAGGTCTATTCATTTTATGCTGGTAAATTCTATAATCATAAAATATTTGTTTATACTTTGCAAAAAAAGTAAAATTTTATAATTTTTTTTATCTAGAATGGTCATCATTTGTGGAAATATAATTTTACCGAAGCCTATTATTTAATATTTGCCGGCCGCGGTAGCCCCGAAGAAAGTCCTGGGGCAGCATATGCCACCCCTGCTGCCCATGTGTTCAAGCATATGGCCTTTAGGTGAGATTTAAAAAATATATATAAAAGAGCTGTATAAATGATATTTATGCGTATCTAGAAATACGCTATAATTTGTATAACAATATAATACCATTATTATAAACATCGTGTCGTGTTTTATTAGGCCACAGCCTATACATCAGAAATTACCACGTACCTACATTCAACGCTTTTAATGGAAAATGAAATTGATACAATTGCCAACAATAAATTGTGGAATACCGAGTTAATATCAGGTTAGCTATTATTTTTCATATTTTGTGACTGCTTTGAATTTGTTGATACTATTTACTACCTTCTATGAAATTACATTATTATGGTTTTCGAACACAAAATGTAAAAATGTATATTATATTATAACATTAAATAAATATCCATACATAAAAATGATCTAGATTCTAGATAGGTAAATTAATATAGATAACTAAAGTTGTCATCTGAGATAAAAAAAAAATAAGACCAGTGGATTTTAATATAGATAAAATAATTTATAATAGAATAATAGACCCAGCCCCAGATTTTATATGTTTAAATTTTAAATTAGAGTCGGCCAAATCATAATATCCAACAAACATAAAATTATAAAATTAGTCAGGTTAAAATTGATTTAAATTTAAATTTCGTAACAATTAAAAATTATAGGCATTCGTTAAATAATTTTACATTTTTAAATTTAATTTTTATAGTAACATTTAGATTGCAGTCGGCGTTATCGACAGTTGTTACGATTTATAGTTAGTCAAAAAAAAATTAGTTATTAATTTTGTTGTGGTTAGAGACTTATAGTGTTGGGCTTTAATTCATCATTCCCTTTTGAACATTGAAAAGATCATTGGCAAACTTGATATATTTTTGTATTAACTCTGTAAAATGTTCGACATTGTAAAGTTTCGAAACAATAGACAAAATACTTATAACCAGTTTTGGACAAAATCGATTTTTTTAAAACCCAAATGTTTAATATTCGCGTTTTCTATAAACTGAAAAGTTGAAAGTTCCTCAAATAGGTAATAGGTTGTGGTTTATGCACCTTGTGGAAATTTGAAAAAAGTTAAGAGTTTATCCACAATAATATTTTGTATGAAACTACTTTATTAGGTACTATCCTGAATTTCCACTATCCCCTTTGTATAAACTTCTTCCGTTTCTTCCTGATATATCTGGTTTTTTTACTGTGGCTGCTGTCACCGTCGATATCTCTCCGCCCTATGCCTTGTGTAAAGCGACACATGAATGTTGAGTTGCCTACCCACTCGGTTCAGGGGGATCAGATACGACGAGTCATAAGTTGCCTACCGCCCACAATTCCGGGCTTAAACCACACACATTCATCGTTTTGAGTTCGTCAGTCCACGGTCGTCGTTGTTTACCTCACACCCATTGATGTTAAATTTTGACTATCTGGCCAAGCATTTCCAGGATCACTGCCTATGTGGCCTGCACGTGACCTGTTTTTTCTCAAAAACATGCCTTACAAGAAACCTCTCACTCATAGTAGAGTGATCCGATTATGATAATTTTTTTTTTTTGGAAAGAGAAACCCTTTTAACAAGGCGATTTGGATTTTCAAAGTCATATTTCTAAACCATAAAATACGATTTTGAATATTACCTATTTTCACCAGTCTTGTTATTTTTATTATGTTCGTTTTAAGCTTCGAAATTAGCAATCGAAGTCCAACGCGCCGTGTTGAAAATTATTCTCTTCCTAAATAAAAATACAAAATAAATCAAATTAGACCACCTTACAATGTGTGAGGGTTTTTTCTGTAAAGTGCGTTTGAGCAAAAAATCACTCTTTTTATTCTTGGTCGGTAGTGCCGTTGACATGTGTAGATAGCCCGGTACTTGCATAGGTACAATCACACTCGCACTCATCATCACTGACGACCAACACACATGCCATGGGCGGCATCAACGAAATTGCATATTGCCTAAACATTGGCCCTTAATAAAGACACACGAGCAGGGCCCCTTAAATGCATACGATTAGGACTGTTGGACGCGCACTGGGGATTTCGTGAATCCGGTACCAACTCTGAGCAGTCAATGTCCAATTTCGCAAGAGTCCAGCACTTCTCATAACGATGACTCGAAAATAGCCTTAAACTGCTGAATATGATATGACCGACCGGAAGTCGAAATGCTCACAATATATAAAACGTATTCCGCATAACGGAAGATTGAGTACGATAAACGATTGTTCCCTTTTGGCTGAACTATTGAACGCGCCCTATAGACGTACCTACATCAAAGAATTACGCCGGGCGTATTTCGATTTCTTCCCATTTTGACCTTTTTTACCTTCTTTATGCTCCGATTGCTATCTGTTTGTAACAGCTAGGTCGTAAAATGGAGCATGTATTCCGATTGCATCTCATAATGTAACTGGGTATACGATTGCATGCGACTGCGTATTGATTCTGAAAAAAACGTATTCGATGCGAGCGTGAAGAGCAGTAGTTGACGTGATATTTGGTGTTAAATGAATAGTTTCATTCAAAAAGGTATGATGTAATACGCAGGTACAAAATAATATTTCATAAGTTATAAGTACATTATTCTCTGCACACTTCTCTGCAGTATTCATTAGAACTACAATTGTCCGGAACTATTACGAGCTGTTTCAATATTAAGTATTCATATTTTAATAATAATAATAATAATAATAATAAGCGGGTATCAACAAAAAATAAAAACATTTGTTTAAAATTGTATTCATTTATTTAAATTGAATACCTAATATAATATTAAACTCGAAATATTATCTAAATCATTATTATTAATATTGTTTAACTTACTTTAAACTCTAATGAACACTTTTTAAAACAACTTAATTGTAATTAACATAATAATATATAATATATGCATATAAATTATTTAAATAAAAAATTAATTTCAACAATGGTACTGACATGGTGTAACGCTAACGTTAATGATTGCCTCAATAACAGTAATTTATATTATTGAGTCTAAATAAAATATTTTACAAATTCAACTAAGTTGTCTGGTCTACAGAGCGTTGAATTAGTCGATAAATTAATTACTGCTATTCAACATAATATGATTTGTGGCAATGTAATCACGAGTCTATAGCGTGTGCACGGGCTTTGTAAGTTGTAAATTGTAATGACATTTTTCTCTAATCTTTGATAAACTTTTAACTTAGGAACACGTATACATAGGAGATAAGATGACAAATTGGTTGACGTTTCCGCGAACTTTCAAAATTAACAGCTGGTTTTAAAAACTGTCTCTGGACGCCTACAACATTAGTCATATAATATATTTCATACAAAATACGGGCCAATACGTATACGTTTCATTTATGAACTACCTACCGAGATATATTTTATTACATTTGTGTAAACCGTTTTGATTTAATAACGGTTCCACGTGTTTGACAAAAATGCAAGTTTGGGAATAGCTATGTTGTTATTAATTTTTAGTGTCGATGTAGAAATGCGTACAAATGAAACTAAACGATTCCCAACTATATAATGTGATTGGGGATCTATAGACACCACTGCGTTCTGGATTCCGTTTATCCGACGGAAAATGTTCCGTTTTTACCGTAGGTGCTACTGCTAAAATAAATGTATATTTCAAAAACATCAAGTCATGTTATATCCGTCCGTGCAATTGGGTAACAAAGGTTCTTTGTTCAACGGCACCAAAATGTCCTCAACTGGTTTCATTCCATCTTCTTTCCACTCGTCCCTGACCTAAAATTAAGTTAGATTGTATTTGAATTTTACTGTCGCGAGTCTACGTTAATTGTGTTATTTTTTACCTTCTCAACTTTGGCAAAGACTCTCAGTAAATTGTTGCCTGCAAGCTTCTTTATTTGATCCTCGGTCCACGAATGGTTACTCATTAATGATGTTAATAGCTGAGGATAATGCGATACGTCTTCAAGTCCCTTCGTAGTGCTGAAATCATTATAATATATACAACATTCCGTTATTAAAATTTAGTTTTAAATTGTGACAGCATTAAAAAAAATTCATTTTTTAGACGATCATGACGTGTGGTTTGTTTTTTTTTATTTAATTACTTTGCGTTGATAATAAAAACAAATACTTAGGTGAAACTAGATTTAATATCATTGACTTATTATGACTTCATGCTATATTACATCGATGATGATTGGACAAGAAAAGTGAATAATACGATGCCCCGCCAAACATGGTTTCACGCAATATTTTTAAAAGCATATTTTAGTATCGTGTTGTAATATTGCATATTAGGTACAAAATATATTCCATTTTCCAAGCACCAGCGATGACTAACACATAATAAACAATAACCATAAGTACCTACCCAATAGTATGTACAATTTAATTCATTAACATTGCAGCCTATTACCTACAATATATATTATATAGTTTTATTATTTTGGTCACTCACTGCGAATTGGAATTATTGTAAATCGACTAAGCAGACTCGAGTCCGACAATCTATTAGGTTCTAACCTACCCGCAGTTGCTGCATTTATTACACGCATCACCGCATAATCGTATCAGAAATCACTCATCACAATTGAACAAACCAAATATTGTGTTAGGTATCCACAACATTATTATACATGAAAGGTATATCGTACACTACAGTTTAAACATGGACTGTGCAACTTTTCGTTTAGTATAATATCACAATATGATAACAACCAACAGTATAATATCGAGATGGGTAGGTAGACGGATAGTCTGATAATTTTCATTATTCAGTGACTACATTAATGATGGTACAAGAAATTACGAATACGCATTTCATATACGTAACACACTCGCGTTTATTGAACATGGCAATAATTATATGTACATGAACGTCGGCTGGATACTAATAATGATCTAAATGGGCAAATGGCTTATGGAGATTTAGATTGAGCAATATTGATTGCGATTACATTTATACGGTTGCATATATTTATTTCCAAACGGTTTCAATATTGGTACCCAGACAAACACGGTAAACAGTATAGGCCAAACAATTTACTCTTACACTAAAAAAAAAAAATTTAAGAATAACTAGTATACTAATATATCTATAGATATAGGCATCTACTAATAGGCAACCAGTATTTTTTTGGGAAAAAGAGAGATTTTTTCAGAGATTGTTTATACGACACTGTTACCACTATTATATTTACATCATCTCAAGAATAAACATTATTAAACTTAGAAACTCGTACTAAAATCTAAAATGTTAATACCTTTATTGAGTTATTAAATAGGTATTTAGTATGTAAAAAAAAGTATACGATGAATAAACCGATTATATTATGTGAATAATACCAAATGTCATCATCATGCAAGTGCTGCCTACATCACATTAAAGATTATCATTTTATAATATTAGAGTTATTTCCAATAGTAACATTCTTACTGGTTAATTCCGTCGTAACCAGCACCTAGGCCGACGTGGTCTTCCCCAGCTACGTTTTTAATGTGGTTAATGTGAGCTGAAATGTGCACAAAAAGAACATTAAAAATGTCATTTAATTTTAACGCACTAAAATCTAGCAATGGGTAGACATTTAGCGTATTATGATATTAAGTACATACCAATAACTTGATCCAAAGTTGATGTAGAATTACAGCTTATAAAATAGGAATAGAAGCTCACCATAACTATACCGTCGTTTAAGGCCTAAAAATAAAATAGCATATGCAACGCGATGATAATATGCGTTCACTCGATTTAAAATAATTTACAATTTGTGTGTAAGCTTACCACTAGTTTGAGCACGTGATCAGGAACATTTCTCAGTGAGGTGCACAATGAATATGCACAAGAATGTGAGAAGATTACAGGTGCTAAAGTATAGTTAAGTGCGTCTTCCATTGTTTTGACAGACGTGTGACTAAGGTCAACCATCATTCCAAGTCGATTCAATTCTCTGAGGACTAGCTACAAAATAATAACAACGATAAATAAACGCATAGGTATTAGCGTTAATTATAAATACTAATATATAATATATTAGTATTTATAAATAATGGTATTGGGTAGCGTCCTAGGCGTAGTATAATTAGTTATAATACATAGTATTTTTTAACACCCATCAAAAGTGGTTGCAACAATAATAATTGACACTTAGATAATTCCGTGCAAATAAGAACCCCACATTTATCGACAACATCATTAGGATTTATGGTCCATTGTACAACACTTATAACTGTCAACAGCTGATAATTACAAACACTATGATATAATTAAATTATTTTTTAAAGTTATCAATACCAAAGCACTACAAATAAAATATCATTTTTGTTGTTGTTGTTAAATCAGTTTGCATTGTACATTTAAAATAGTATTTGTAGTTAAAACCTGTACGGTTATTACTAGAGTTCCGTTTACTTATCTTCAATATCTACTGTCAACCCTTTTCACAGCCATCGTTTACTCATATAATGTGTATTGGACACTGTTTACCGTATTGCCATTCGTTAAAAATGAATAATTACTTTTGTGCTTTACGTTGTTAAATTCTGTCGATTGACGTCGATTCAAACGTCGAATTTTCGGTATACTGTAACTACGACGGCATATGCGGTGTGTAGTACACACTGTGTACCTATATATGCATATACGTTTGAAACGGGTATTAGGTTTAAAAATAATCGCAATTCACGAGGTACTACAATAACGATACCTTCCTATAACCATAAAACCTGCAGTGATTAAAAATACAATCCTTTTCAAATGTTCGTACTAATGCGTAGGCACGAAATAACTCTTCAGACAAAATATGTATTACCCCCGACTGGCTCAATCGTTATTCACTTGAACTACGCATTGTTGTTCCCTTCGATTTTAATCGTATAATCGAATGATATATTTCGTGTATATAATTGGATTGAAGATTCAGAGTTCTGAAATGAAGAACTAGATGACGTAGATACTTGGCGCGTGTTTATATTGACATGTTAGCACACCAACTAGGTATGCATGGTGCATTGCAGTATTTCAATACGTGAAATAAATATGAGATTGCGTATACTCTACTAATATACTAGCGTACAGCTCGCAGTGGCAAAATACATATATATATATACACACATGCAATATATGTAGTATGATCGATTTCGATTAGAATCATATTGTGTTGGAACGCGTTAAGTGGCATTAAGCACATTAGCCGGGGTTTTCTTTTCGAAAACGGCACTTTTAAATGTTTTTATAGGCACATCAAACGATCGCATGATGTAGTGAATTAACTGAAATAATAACTGTTCGAATTGAATTATTTGACTTAATACGACCATAATAGGTAATAATTGATTATATTATTATGGCGGGTACCTAATACATTTACCTCGCAATGAAAATTCGTTTTACTCAAATAATGAGCTTTTCGAGTACCTACCGTACATTATGTATGCTATTCTCAACTATAATTTAAAATATATGTATGTTAATTTATACAAATAAGAAATTTTTTATCGTAGATCTGCACCTGTATTACATATATGCTTATATTAATTTCACCCACCAGATGACCAATAAATAGGGCCAAGTAAGTAACTAGCATACACCAATAGCACTTTAGCTTAAGACAAACATATAAACAAATACGATTTATTTTACAATGTATTATATGTATTACGTCCAATAAATGGGAGTACCTATAATATTGAAATTGTTGTTGCTATATTATATATTATGCATTAGGCGTACTTACCAAGCCAAATGGAGATAACCCTTGATGTTCATTCTCTGGTGAGTCTAAGCCGGAACAACAGCCAGCCCTATAAAAAATAATAAATTAATATGCGGTAATCCATGTTGAGGTTATACAGCAGTTATTATGGAACACTTTCAGAAAGTATCTAATATCATTTTTTTTTTTGTGAACATTCTAAAAAAGGTATCTGCTCGTCTGAATAATAATCAGAATTATTGAGACGCCAAAAGTGTCTACCCCAAAAAACTGTCAAACGTTCTGACAACCATTCCAATCGATATATTATGTGTAATATCGACGGGTCAGTGGTGTACACTGTACATAATACAAAATCGGAGGGATAGTATAATATAATATAATATATTGTTTGGTGGAGCAACTCGCGACTAAATAAACGGCGTCTCGTCACCGACTGGATAAACTTATCCCTCTGCCGATTGTCGGCTGTACACAGGATGTGTGTACAGGACGAAGTGTAAGCGGTGGTATAGGTGGCTGGTGGAGGTAAAGGTTAGTTCGAGTCGGAGAATAAGAGTCGCAAACGAGAGATTCACGGCACGCCCGTTTTCAACTGTATGTATAAGAGGCACCTGCACAATAATGATTGTATATTTTAAAGTAAACAGAAATGCATTAAATGCGTTTTATTATTTGTTTATTAGATGTGTTATATTGTCGTGACGGGTGATGCGTATTTAATATGCATTGGCGATTGACATTAAGAAATTATGCAAAAGTACTTTTTACATTGAAATGAGACGAAGGGGAAAACAAGTAAAACCTTTGTCGGCACTCTTTCAGATGCACCGAATACAATATGATAATTGTACCCCGCGAAACCTATATACCATTTACAATTTACATAGTATTATGCTTATCGATATTGAAGCATTATTTCGTTTGACATGAACTGCAGGATGCAATAACTATATAGCTCCTAATTAAATCAGTTATCGAGTCGATAATATTTATACTGTAATTTGTGATGAAAACTCGATTCCTCACGCAACCAGTGGTTATTCGAGAGTCAATTTCTATGTGAAGATACAACATGTTATGTAGAACTATAATTATTAAGCACAAAAACATATAAAAGCAACCCAATGCATAGCCCTCTTTGTAACTGAAGGATAACACACCCATTGAAATCAGACAACAAAAACTTGCACTCGAAAATCCGTATTGTTGTTACTAAACAAAACCCACTCATTAACTAAATATCATAAGTATATAATATATCTACTAAGGCCGACTGAACAATCGTACTCCAAGTATTAATATGTAAAATCTAACTTAAGTAATATTCATACACGCTGTGCAAACATATTTAAATTGTTCAGAACATAAAATAATGAACCAATGCATGTTCAATGTGAAATGGACAAAAATCAGTAAACTAATTTGAAAAAATAATGTAATATCTTATGTGTATAATAATATTTATTTTAAAGATAGGGTTACGTCTTTGAGAAGTAGAAGAAGACAGAAATAACATTTTATTGGCAAGTACCTAAGACAGTAAAATTACAATATACCCAGGTATATTATACATATCACGCACGCGGTTATTTTTGAATAATAATTTTTGATATTGGATGGTTTTTATTGGCTTATAGATTGATTTCAACTGCATATATGTATATAATACCTGCTCAAACGTATCATAGGCAGGCAAGAAAATCAGTTTCGAAACCACGGTTACTCCAAAAAAAATATCCAACTCGTTTCGGACAGGACAACGATTTGATTCCTCAGTCCCTGTACCGTGGCCGTAAGACGACTGTCCGGGAGCAGTTAAAAAAAAAAATGTACTAAAAAATGAAACGCAGACGGCACAAAGTCGTAAACAAATCATTATAAAACATATTTGTTGTATAGAATAATATCGCCTAACGTCAATATATAGGCAACAATAGGTACGCTCATGCCAACGCCACACGAAACTTATTTGGAAATACTGCAAAAGCTCGGGAAGTATATTATATTCCAAAGGTTTAGGCCAACCTAACCTTCGGCGACGGCCAAGAAAGTACGAGGGTGCGTTATCCTTTATTGCCGGCCGTTATAAAATCGTAAATAAAAACCGAACGAGGAACGCTCGTTGTCGATTAAACCCAAAACGGCCGCAGAGTAGAACAGCTCATATTATTATTATTATTATTATTACAACCAGCGCATTTGTTTTCGATTTCGTCTGTACCGAGTACACAACCGTCGTGCGGCGGCGACAATACCTTACACATAACATAATAATATATTACTCTCGTGGTCAGAGTCAATAAAGTTTATGTAGGACACGACCCGCGCGCGTATTCGATTAGACCATTGAAACCACTCGAATGTGCTTTGCTGCAGAACACTTAACGACCGTGTGTGTGACGAAATTCAATCAATTCGGACCTTTTTTCTTCTCTTCCGCACTCAGCCCCCAACCCCTCCCCCCGTTCACACTCTCGTCGCCACGTCCGTCTCCGCCGCACCCCTTTCCGGGCGTTCGGCCCTTGTGCGTGTGCGGATTGATAAGAAACCAATGGGCCGAATTAAGAAAAAAAAAAAAAAGTATTATTATTTCTAAACACTCTCAAAGTGGCTAGGTGATTTATCTTGGTTTTATCTTCGGCTCTTAGATTTATAGATTGTATATCACAATCTCTATACAGTTTTTGCCCCGCTCCGAACGTTCAGTAAAAACGCATGCCCTCAAGTATTTTGTTAGGAAACAGAAATAAAAAGTCCAGATATCGCATCGACGTTTCGGCGAAATAATATCACTTATTATTACGTCCATTGACTGTACCTGCACAGGAAACAAAATAACGCAAATAATTGAAACAGTATAATATCATTATTGTTGTTAGCGAGTTTCATTTATTTGCATAAATCAATATAACAATATATATACAGTATATATATATATTATACACACACACGCACGCTAATACAATTAGCTTATACTTGGAACAACTAATATATAGAACACACAAAGTCATAATAGGAGCTGAACACGTACGGGCGTACAGCTGTTATAGTTGGCTTTATTCAAATTAACGAAATTTGATATAAAGTTAATTACAAAAGTTGTTTGATACATTAAGTGGATTCTCAAACACAACTTATTGGCTTCATAATTAAGAGGACTTGCTGGTTTAATCACATTCCGTTTCACGCGTTTTGGTATGCAGTGCGGGGTGCGCCAGGTACCAGCTATATTACCTAGGTACTATTGTAAAATGACATGACATACGATATTTCAAATGTTTTGCCTTTGTGCGCCACGGACGACTAACAATATTGTACACGTAGACATACACAGGAAGATAATATTGACGGTAAAGCATAGTATAAGGGGTATAGTCACTCATCATATCGAAATGAATTAACTGTTTAAATTTACAAACAGGAAAATTGAATATAATATAACATTATAATCTCTAAGTACACATCCGACACGAATATTTTTCTCAATCATTTCACATTTGTTTTTGTCGGTAAAACGACTATCAACTTTTCCAAATGATTACCATGACTAATATCAATTAATAAATTATACTTTTCAATTTGCATTTTAATTCAAGGTATAGATTATAAAATAAGAAGAATGAAGCCGCAATGGTCACCCTGAATGTTTGTGGTGCATTAATCCCCTCGCTCAGCTAATCTTTGAATGCTCATTAATAAAAACAGCTATTCGTTCAATATTCAATAGTTCTACATCAACAGTTTTATAAGACTAATTCTCATAAGCTAAACGAGTTGATCCGAAAATAAATGGTATAAAAGCACGACTAAATCGTAAAAAAATATTATAGTGTGTTTGAAACGACTTGATATTTTGATTGCTTTTCGACTGGCGTAATCATTGGTAATAACTAATAATTGTTTGTGTTCTTACCATAATGTATCGCAAGTATGCGTTAGGGTTAAATATCGGGCTCCGAGGCTATGGAAAATCCTGAGCACTGCTAGTGAATTTCCCAGCGAATGACCACCTTCGACGCCAATTAGGCTAGCAATTTTTCTGGCTTTGTGCGCCTCTCGTATTCCTGAAAAAGCGATATATAGGTATATGCAATTATAAAAAGACATATAATATAGGTAATATTTATGATTTATGTCGTACCTTTCACCGATGTAACCAGCTGTAAATCACTGGAATAGGTTTCAGCCAACCTCCTAATGACGTCGATTTGTTCCATTGTAGTTTGGACACCATCCAGGTGCTGTCTGCCACAGGGTACATAGGCTGACCAAAACTGTCAACAACGTACGTACGTAAGACATTAAAAAAACATAATATCACGAAGGTAGTCATGAGTTAGTAATCGGTAAACGCTAATTACCCTAAAGGTGTTATGGCTTTAGGCGTGTACTATATTACACGGCTATTAAATTAACGGTTATCATTTTGAATTATTAGTGGCATGCGTCAAGTTAAGTTTTTCCGGCAGAAAACTCAGTTTTTATATTTATACATATTAATCATACTTTTGTTGTGATTAGATGATCAATATATTGTTAACATTTAATTGCTATGTTCTCATTATTTTTTAAATCAAATAATCGATTTTGCGATTTGTAGAAAAGATAGAACATAATTTTGATTTAAATTTATAATTATAAGTGAATAACTCCATGCATTTTTAATATTTCATTCAAAAAACTGAAAACAGGGTAGGTTAGTTTCTTTAAAATGTGTACTGTACTTATACAATAAAATCTCATATTTCATAGTTATATATGACTGAAAAAATTTCAATAACGATATTGTGTATTTGTGTTCACAGTTATCGGCTACTGCTGTACATATATGAATTACCTAACTAAAGTGTAAATTTGTAACAGGTACATTTGAAAATTGTAAGTATGATTAGTTAATGATTATAAACCATATAATAATATAATATATTAAATTATATGCACATAAATAGTAGATAACGTAATATATTTCTTTGCTTGAAAAACGATGATGTTTATGAATCATACTTAATGATGTTATACAGAATGAGAGTTTTAAAACGTAGGTATACAATATTATTATGGTACATTAATAACCAGTATTAGACACTTCCAAATTGTCAATCAAATTCAATATTATCATTTAGTTAACACGATGTGATGGGATTATGAGAGCTATGTATTTCATCGATTCCATTGAAATATCAGTTTGACCAACTATATAGATAAATGTTAAGTTGATTGACATATTATTAGAGATGTATGCATAATTCAACTAAAACACTGAGTATAGTATAATATAAACTACGCGATATTAATAAATACATAATACACATAATATAGGTATTATAATAATTAGCGAAAAGATAATTCAACTCTAAAATGTAAAATAATCAATGCCTACCCACATGTATAGCATACACAGTGCGTATTTAATTTGCATGATAATAATGGAATAATTAATAATTAGGAATATTATTATTAAAAAGAATAAAAAAAATACATAGGAATATGTAATGCAAAATAGCCAATAGGAATTCAGAACAAGTCTAGAAAATTAAATTAGCTTCTGATTGCTAATATAAACATAACTTTAATAGCATTATTAACAACACTAATTTTTGTCAAATAAAACAAAACCAGAAATAATTTGATCACATGTGTAATTATAATGCAAATTTGCCTTGGTAATATAATAATAATTATTAATTAATAACTGGCCATGACGACGAAGAAAATGCGTATCCGATTTAATTCGTAACATTGTTTGGTTCGTAGTAGCTATCAACTAATCGTAAACTTTTGGGAGTGAAAATAATTCCTTCGTCTAATATAAGAATGATAAGAAAATATTATTTGTCGTTCCTTTTTAGTCGTTTGTTTTTTGTTTTTAGTGGTCCCTGTTACCTACCGGTATAATTTGTTCAAAGCGCTGAACGAGGATTACAAAAACCATATTGTGCTAAAACATTATAATTTCCCGAATACTTTAACGAATAAAACAAGTTAATTAAGCTTAGTATATTTATTAATAAATAAATAAATTATAAGAGTCAGCATGTAATTAAGACCTATATAAGATAAGAGAAATTTAAATTTAATTTTAGAAAAAAAAGTACCTACCCATATTACACATATTATATATGTTTATATGACTGCCTAATTGACTTTCTTTACATTTATAATAAATAGTTTTTTCTAATTTCTAATTCTTTAAATTTAATAGTAAATAAAAGGTACCTACGTAACGTAAACGAAGTATTTCAAGTTTGAAGATATTATAGCATTTGGTAAGGAATTCCGTAAAAACCTGATAATACTTATTTTAAATTTCAATTCGTCTTTTAGAAGAATATTATTATTTTCTAACCTCAGCAGCTTAGCAAACGATTAACTCTATCAAAAGCAGAGAAATTATGGCCGATATATTTTCTCAGATAAATAGTTACCATAGGTAGGTAAATTCGTTCAAGAGGATTGAAAACCGATGAATATTTACGGATATCGCGTAAGCTATTCGTCCCATAAATTATTGGGCAACATTTAAATCTGTGAAAATAGTCATTAATATAGATAAGTTTTTCCATTATATTATTATGCGCACTAGGCAATGTTGTGCTTGATCAGCACTTTCATAGCACATCTTATAAACCTACTTAAAAATATATGTATTATAATAAGATATGAATAACCAAACTAAACAAATTCAAAACGATAACAACGATTAAAAATCACCATCGTTGGTGTGATGATAATTTTGAAAATATCACATTTAAATGTACGATTCAGAGTTCTGAAAAAAGTAGAAAATAATTATGCTTAAATAGCACGTATATGATTATAGTTGAAATTCGGTTGAAGAGTATGTGCTTTTAATGTGTAAGTACTAATGGTAATATATGCAAATCATAAAATTGTTTTTCAAATGTTGGCAAATTATTGGTAAAATGTTTGCCTAGGTTTGAAATGAGATGAGTCTGTAGTACAGAGTGGTGCTGCTAACTTTGCGCACGTGCATTTAAAACAAATTATAACGATGTTTTGTCCTATTGAAGTCCTAAGTTTGTATTTGCTAAATATAAATATTTGCACACATAATAACACAAGTCCTCGATTAAAGCACTTTATAATTTGTATAATCAATCTGAGTGGGAAGAAATATATTATTTTCATTCCTATCAATATTCAACGTTTTAAAATTATACTATAGATAGATAACTAATGACATTTGCATTTAATATTTACATAACTATCTACCTATCTCATTAATCGCCTAAGGTCGAATAGGTCGATTATGAATTATTGCATTTGCGGATTAAAGTATATTTTTCTTGGGTATTTTCAATAAAACGGAATTTTTAATAATCCAAAACAAACAAATTTCCTTATTTCCATTGTGTTTTTAATCATAAATCATAAAATGGTTGGAAAATAAAACTGATTATTATTAAAATAAAATATAGTTTGTTCAGTCAAATAAAAATATACCATTCCTCGACAATAAATGACACTGATGTGGAATGGATTCAGATATAAATAAACTGAAATCATCTTATACAAATTATATACAAAATGTGACTGTTGAGAAAAATACATTCGATAAAAATATGTTGAATTATGTTATTTGACCTATTTAAATTAGGTAAATTATTTAATATAAACGAAATCATAATTTTGTCACTATTGATATATTAATTTGTTTTTTCATTATAAAATATGTATTTATAATTTGATTTGGTTGTTACATTTATTAATTACTCAATTGTACAAAACTCTAAGTAACGTTAAATGTTTGAAGGCTTTGGGGCAAGGGTTAAACTTATTCGTTTATGTTCATATTTTTATCCATATTGGAACATAATTAGGGAGATCTGTTACAATAATTTAAATTTTAAGTATTTAAAAATTAGGGCCATTCTATTTTACATGTATGAACATAAAATATTTTATGATATCGTCTTTGCAAATTTAACCAAACTTTTATCAAACAAAAATCTCAAACCATTCGATACACTTATAAAATACAGAGCACTCATTTATTATTTATAAAAAAATAAGCCTAACCTAACCTAATCAGCAGTTCAAATGTAGTGAACGTCAATAAATATGTTTTCAAAATTAAGAAAATTAAACACATTACACCTACCTACCTACCTACCTACCTCCACAATAAGGTTATGGTTAATTTATTTTTAATAAACTTCAATTTTTCAGAAATATAATAGGAATATTGTAACGTGAACAAATTCAAAGTAGGTACCTAGTTTTATGTAGGTATAAGTTAAAAAGTTAAAATCGATGACATGTGTTACATACAACTTTTGGAACACGTTTCCTAACTTCAGAAACGTTAAATAAAATATACATAATTATAAAATCAATAACTTTGGTATTCCGTTTTGCAGAGTATGAGGATGCAGAACTTGTAATTAAAATATTAAGTATAAGAAATCAATTAAATTGAAAAAATTACCAGATTTTTGAACGAATGCTTATAAAGTTCAGACTATAATATATTACGTAAGTGTATATCTAATACTTATGAATTATGATGTTTGTTAGACATTAAATATATGAAATGTGTGACGTTTGAGTGTTAGAATAACTAAAAACTAAATGTATACAATAATCAATAATTTAGGGAGTTTACTAAAAAGATGAATAATAAGGAATAAAGATACTGACAAAACAATTAAAGTAAAATAAAAATTTTAAACATAAATCAAATAAACATAAAATATAATAATAAATTATATTTAAATATTTTTGCAAGTAAGATATTATCTGATATCAAATCCATTCAATTTTAAGACCTATAAATTATTTTTATACGATAGAATAGTTTTCGGTCTACTGGTTTTTACAGAGATTTCACGGAGCAGAAAATTTTATACGATATTTTTGTATTTTTAATATGATTTGTGATTTTAAAATTGGATTCAAAATTTTGTGATTTGATACAGACTTAAAAAAAAGTTTTTGAAATGTAAACTTCTTTCATTATTTTAGACGTAAATATAACCACTTAAATTCAATGTTTGTGAGCATACACACTGTGTACAGTTAAGATATTACTTTAAATTTCTATAAATATTTATGAAGTATTTTATAAGTTGATGAATTAAAATAAACAAGTGTAAACGAATGGATCTTACTTTTAACTTATAATAAGTAATAATTATGGTTTTTTTAAAAAAATAATTTAAACTGTATAGGGTATCCATTTATATATTATATTAAGCCCCAATCAGTATAATTGTAGTATCGTGCAATCATGCGATTAGAAAATTCTATTTAGTATTACAAAAGAAAAAAAAATTAAAAATTAACCAACATTATTTTGTCATTTTGCTTAAAAGTAATTAAAAGTAATTAAAATAATAATAATTAATAAAATTGTCGCTTTCAAATAGAATTGCGCTAGTATATAGTAGGTGCCTAATATTCAGTAAACCAAAAATAATTTATGTACCATCATGTTATTGTTTAGAGAGTATTTTACTAAAGCAGAAACCAAATAATTTGTGTTGAGAGCTTAGTTGCTAATATAATTATAATTACATTTTTTTCCTAACTAGAACCATATTCAAAGAATTAAAATCAAGTTTTCCTTGAAAATGTAAAATACAGAGTACACCCGTATAGCGAAATAAATAGTCCAAATATGTATTATGTATATAAGTGTTATATTGTTCAATACGCCACATAGGTAGATATCAAGTTTATTATTATACTTTAAGGCGATTAGCATTAATACATTTAAACATTATCAGGTCTTATGATTAAAATATTTTTTTAAACGATTATTAAACAATGTTGATAAATTTAAAAAAAAAAATAATATATTTAGTATTTTACTGTTTGTTGTTTTATTAATGAGTTAGAGAATAAGAAAGAACAGTTATTTAATTAAAGAGTATTATAATTTACGATGGAATGAAATTTTTGATAAAACAACATTATACAAAGAGAAAAAAAAACACAATTAAATATTGCTGTCATAAATTACAAATGCAAGTTAATTAAGTTATACCTACATTAGGATCTCAAGTATTTTTAAACTGGTTTTAATAACTGTAAAAATAATAAGTAAATATTTCAACTGCAAAAAAAATTAATAAAACTTATATAATTTATGAAAATTGCGTTTACTTGAAAAACTAATCAATTTTTTATTATTATACATTGTTATTAATTTAACACCTTGAAACATTAGCAAGCTGTATCTTTTTTTTAAAATTTATAATTACATTCTTTAGTCAGATATTTAAATAATATGTATATTACGTACAAATTAAAATCTATGATTTTAAATATATATAGTAATATATGAATCCAGATAATATCTAGTCATAATGTAAAAATATCACTGCTGTAATTTACAGTCACAAAATTGTAATATAATTTGAAGGTTGAAAAGGGTTTATGTCTAAATGTCTAGTTCCACAATATTGATATCCAAAATTTGAAAATAGAAGATTTAAACTAAGAAGAATTATATGACAAGGATAATATAAATGAAATAACTAAAAAATAAATGTATTGTAATTCAAATTTAGATTAAATAAATAATACTAAGTAACTTAGTTACCTATAATCATTTTCGTTCAAATTTGCAGTATATTTATAAATGAAAAACACAATTCGCTTTCTTTCATAGTTTAGAATAAAAAGTCAAAATGAAAACTTTTACATTACTTATTTTTCTTGGTTTTTTCCATATAAATTAATTATTTATTGTTCCTTCCGCGTATGACAATGTTAAAATACATACATATAATATACATTTCGTTTTAGTACTTTCCAAAAATTGAGAAAAATGAATAACATTTTAAAAATGTTTTCTTAGGGAAGGTATTTTTTCACTCGTAAATATTATATGAGATTCAAAACAAAGTATCTCGACATTTGAGGGCCATAAGCGTTGACCACCCCTGATGTAAATATTAAATTTTAATACATTGTACCTTCTCAATTCTACACAATAGGGCCAACTTCTATTAGAATGTATTTTACTGACCGCTAGGCACAAAACTACAGAGCGAATGTTAATACCCTTTAAAGATCAACGAAAAGAGGTATTTTGGTATAAATATGCATTATTTACAAGCCTACAGACAAACAACCATACTTGAAATATATGTGTATTGTGTATAGTTCATTATTTTATAATAAAGTAAAGTAAAGTATAACCTATTAAGTACCTACCTATAAATAGAAATTTGGTGCTATAGAACCAAGTGAAGAAATAAATATGGAATATATGGTTGTTGGTTGTAACATTATATATTATTTGTAAAATAATAATTGAATTTATGTAATGATACACCAAATTATGATGATCAAACATAACTAATTGAATTATTAAAATTAATAAGTAAATGATATACGCATATTGCATACGTATACATAGTATTGAGTTTGGAAAAATATTTATGTCACTATAAAATATAGTTGTGATACATTTTTATATCAATAGAAAAATTGAGGCCTTCAATCTACTTTTTAAAGTACTATTGAGTTTAATGAGACTTGACAACGGCCTGGTTTTTATAAGTAAAATAATTTAAATATAACGCGTAGACAATTAGTACATTTTGAAAGTTACTTGATAAACTCGAATTTTATGAAAAAAAATAATTGACATCTCTTACGTAAAAATATCTGTTTAGTTTTCCGTTATAAACAAAATATTGCACAACTCAAAGCCATAATAAATAAGTTTTTTTTTAATGATGAGTTTATATAATATGTTTATTTACGTCACCTTTAATAAACACTTATAATCAGGAATTCCTAGTAGAATGTAGAAGTTATTTTTTTCGTTTATTTTTGAAGTATTTTAAATAAATAATGGAGCATTTTTAAAGATAGTGTTGTGTATGGTACAAGTGATTATTAGTTTTGAAGTGGTATACATTTTCTTTTATGGTGTTGATATGAATCAAATCATTTGTATTGACTATAACCAATAAGTTTAACAAGATAGAAAGGGCGTTGTAAGATGTTATAAGGATTATGGATTAAACGACAAAAGTCAGTGAATATATTTATTTTTGTATACTCGACAAAAGGCTTCAACTATAATTTTTTTTAGCCTATATTAATTTAATAGTATAATTTATACTATATTACTAATATATGTGTTAATATAAATTAAATTCTTATAGATATAATAAAAATAATATAAGGAAAATTGGGATAACCGTATTAGGAGAATTGACAATTTTTGGCTAATCGTATATGGACAAATATACAGAATGCTACAGTGTTCTCCCCATTGAGGGCTTGATGTAGTGAAAATGGGTTGTTTAGGATTTGGGGCAGTTTATCACTATAAATAATAAATATGCTCTATCGTTAGTATTACATTTCATGTATCACATATTGGATGATTACTATTCCTCCTGTTTTCTTTTCATGTCAGAATATGTTTACGGTCAATTCTTCATTTCTACTTTTGTTAGAGAGGAGTAAATATTTAGCCAATATTTCTGCCGTTTTTACATTATTTTTTATTTGATAAAATTCAGTGTTTCTGCAGATTAACTTGTTATATTATTAGTTTTGTGGAAAGTAAATATGTGGCGACTGATGGATTCGTGGGGCTGTTGAGTCTTCGTCTTAATCATTTATAGGTATACACGTGAGGGACTCACGTGAGAATATATGAATTCTAGATATACATTTTTGTTGAAAAAGCTCATTTTTTGGATATGGGATTGAAATCGACGAGTGGGCGCTCAAAGAGCAGCTGATAATGATGTCACAGTTTTCTTGCAAGTTTGAAGATGATTTTTAATGTTTCGTAAATAGCTGAGTTTTCTAATGTAGGTATACAATATAATATAAACTATAGGAGGACGGTGACCGGACGACAATACATATTTCCTGGTCTACGATTACCGAGAATATTACATAATTTGTGTTATTTGAGGCATCAGTAAATATTTGGATGTATTCTGCAGAGAAATAAGTGAGTATTATATTATAATAATTATTATTTATCAGGGAATGCATTCCTATTACAAATATTCTATGTTATACTATAATACCATATTATATTGTCTTGAAATAATTCAATATTAAATAGCTGGCCATGGAAATAAACGAGAGGGTGGAGATCATAACATACCTACATAATACCTATATTATAATGTATGTAAGGAGAGAAAACTCTATGAAATGTTATCACACTAACCCAGAGCAGCAGCGGGAAAAACATGTCGAAACACCACAGATTTTGTTGACATTTTAATAACACATTGCATTGCAATGATAGATTTTTACTGGAAAGATTAAACACACAATATGTCCGTTTATCCGTTCATTTTAGACTTGATATGAAAACTATAGGTACCTACTTGGGTATGCAGTGCATGTGTTATTGCGGCGGTCTAAGCTTGGGAGTTTTTAAAAATAATAATAATTCGTGACATAACTCCATTAAAACGAATATTTGGAAATCGCGCGGATGATTAGGTGTACGGATTAATGGATTATACCTAATACAGAGACGACGAGTCGAGAATGCAATCGGAAAATTACTAGAGCAAAAAACCATCGTTTACTGCCGGAAAAAGAATATAAAAATGGTTTTAACGTTTAACACAATGGGCGAGCTCGATAATGGGTGGCTTGTAATGGGCGACACGTTCGGCGAGTTAATTTTTTCAGGGTGCAACACGCGTGTAATCTTTATATTCAACTCGAGTTTGACGGAAAATATTAAAGTAAAGCCTTCATCCGCAACGGTGATTTTTCGTACACAATATGTTCAAACTTACTTGAGCGCCAACCATGCCTTTTCTGAGCCGCGGTAAATCGGTTTGCGACCAATTACTCTTCGACCACGGTTCCACGGTCGTTAAATCCGCAGAGAAGTTGAAATACATCAGCTGATTGTGTACGAACTTACGGATATTCCACGGCAGGTCGTTGTGCCTATAAAACAAACGCACGTTTAATGGTAATCGTGGGTGAAAATATTGTATTATTGTTGTTTACACGAAGTGGGCGGTAAAAATATGTTTTATACAAAAAACAGCACGCCTAAACGTAATAGGTTATATTATGTTTAATGGACCGCCGTTTGTAGTGGTCGGTATATTTTATGTAAATAATTAATATCCAACAAATACTTGTGTGATACACGCATCTATTTTATTTTACCAAACACCAAACGAGATAGGTACCTATGTATTTTTTTTTTTACAGATACCTAACGAATACCTTAATTATACTCCAACCGCGTGCGACAAGATCGAAAAGTGCATCGAGGGTTGCTGCACATTTCGAACCTAGCCAGAGACTTCCGGATCCGATTATAACCTTCAATTATATAACGTTTGACTACTTTGACTGCCAATGGCAGACAGGAAGTGCCTACTACAAAAGTTGCGTTCTCTTTGCAGTCCAGGATCGTTCACGTGCAGGTTAGTTGCAGTCAATTGACAATCTAATTAAATATTTCTGAGCAGATACTTTATATTACTATATGCCCTCGGCGGCATACTTTATTATTTCATACATCCCGTCTATATAGGTTAAAACCGTTTTACCGTCTTATGCCTGATTACCGCGAACCATAACTATGGCACCCTCACACAACCGATGTATTATTTATAATCAGGCTTAATTCGTTCATAATCGGTCTTGAAATTATTGAGGTAAAGGTAAATGTGAACTACTTGTCGCAGTTGTATAATGTACGGAAACTCTCGTAAAAGAAAAACACGAGTGATAAAAAATATTATTTTATGTTATTATTTATATAGTACCGTCTACCTTAGTGTATCAAGTAAGACGAAAGTATATAGAATACAAATATAATTTCCAGAGTTCAAAGGAAACACGCTGAATAAGGCTTTGGACAGGGTCGTTCAATTTGTGAATAATAAAAGACAAGTAGCGTTTGCACAAGAAATACATTTAAAAAAAAACACAACTAGTAACTATAAATCTCTTTATAATAATATTTTTTCAGACCGCATGACTGCCCCTATTATGTGGTGTTACTTCAGATATTTTTAAGTTGTGATATGTAAAAAAAAATAATCTTGAAAATATCTTAAGTCACTCGTAAGTATCTTTGAAAACTATATCTGATACTATATTCACACGAATAATATTTTTTCATAGCAAATATAGGTTAGGTATACTTGTCTTAAACTCTTTACACTTTATACATTTTATTTGATTATGTCGATCTAAACAATCGTAAATCGACGATACCTCACAAACAGAAAAAAATCAAATGTAATTATTTCATCATTATAATACTACCGACAACAAATTGAATTTATAAAAACGTGTAGACTTTAACATATGATATAATAATATAGTATACGAAGTACCTTTTCGTTAAATTAATTTCAGAGATACGATAATAATGTACATTTCAATATTTGTCATTATTTAGTTATTAATAATTATTATTGTTCGTTTGTAGAATATTAGACAGGTTTATGTAAATATATTTAAGTACATATTAATGGTATTTGTTGTTTTTCATTTTTCGTGTTATAAATATGTTTGTTTAATTTAAAAAAAAGAAAGTATCCGTTATAATTGATGTGTTAAAATGAAAATATTTAAAAAGATGGCGGTTTGAAGCATTACGATAATACTATGTATATTTGTAGTATACTTGCTATTTGTTTAATAAAGTAAATCGCATAGTTCAATATTTGTTATTACAACAAAAAAATAATATAAAAATAAAAACACACACAAATATTTAACATTTATTTATTACTTATTTATTATTTATATATTACTACGTGTTTCTAAATGAATGAATGATAATAAACATAGTCGGAGATTTACAAACTTTACAAAATATTCTTATTGATTAAGTGTTTTTTTAAGTGGCAAACGTACAAATCATTCATTAATAATTTTCATTATATCTATTGTTCATTGCAGTGTTGTGGATGTCCCATCAGTTTTTCTATTTCGCTATATATTTAATGAGTTATTAGTTAATTGTATATAGAAAAGTACAGTTGGTTGCCGATTGGTGCATGACTAAATATGGTAAACCAAATTAATATTAAACTGACAATAGCCAGTTGTCTAAAACTTATAATTTAGACGGTGCCAACCAATATTCGAGTGTAATTTATTTGTGTATGCATTATTTCGTTTAAACACATTGAATTTATGTTTAAATTTGTTTCAACTGTTATATTATGTACACCGGTATGGCAGTATAATGTATATTATGTTATGGGATATTGAATATTATGTAATAATACAACCTGACAAAATAATATAGTCTGATAAATATAATTCAAAATATATTGTTTATTGTTATATGTTTATTGGATAATTTACCTTCAACGGCATGAAACTCACATAGATACGAAAAACCGGCTCAATTCAATTTTTATAATGGGTTTACCTACGATAAAATATTTACCAAGTTAATTAATATTATTATATTAATTGCATAATCTGCTGGGCTATTTAACACGACGAAGAGAATAAAAGATACTATCAAATTCTGGCACGAAGATAGAATTTAAATGGTTTCAACTACACGATTGAAGGGAAGCATTATAAAAGTATGGTTATTTTATTTGCTGTATTTATATTGTATTGGTCCCCATATTATACCCGATAATGTACCCGTTTTCATTGTTCATTGTGTGTAGAAACATTTGACACTCGGATACTGAGAGTTTAAGGTTGAATATAAACAATTTGAATAATCGATAACATCGAGTTACTGAAAAACATAAGTGTTATAGATGTTTGAAGGGGATATATTTTAGAGATAGTTATCGATAATTTTTAACTATCAAGGTTTGAGATTTTGTGAGTCAATTGCTTAAAGTTAATATATATTAAATTGTTATCAAAGATTTTAGATTCTGAGCGGAGCGATAAATGAACTGGGTCTTACAATATTATGTGTTTTTATTTTATTTTATGTGTATGTCATCACTTTTTTTGGTACAAAAAAAGATTTTATTTATAACGATTTAGTTATTATGTCGTAATTCAAAAAATATTATTAATCGAAGGGACTTAAGACTTTTTTTTATTACATTTATCAGTATTGCACATACTTTATACACGATGACATTTTCAAAATATTTTTACTAATATTTAAATATTTATACGAGATGATTATATTTCCTCCATTATATTAGGTACGTCACAATTAACTTACGTATTAACAATCATAATTTAATACATATGATATTATATCACGGTAATTATTTATTATATTATTTTCAGAAATATAGCGGTCCACTCACTTACTTCCAATAATATAAATAAACGATGAAATATCTTTAGAAGTATATGCTGACAATCCATTTCTTCTCAGAAACCCTTTTCGTATGCAATGATTCATTATTGAATTACAATTTAACACATCCATTACAACAGTAACTAATACTCAATGATGTGGTAGGTACACGCGAAATCTACATTACGGTAGAGTGACTTAAAAAAAAAAAAATCTATTACCCATTTGAGTATAAATAACATATTGATTACGAATAATAGTTGTATGTGTTCTATATGTTATTATTATTTTAATTCTTAATAGTAATGTTTTGTAATTATCTTAAATTTTTATATTATAGGCAAAGGGAAAATGTATAGGTAGTAAAAAAATTGATTTTAAAAATGCGTAATGTTCTTTGGTATATTGATAACAGTAAACAGTTGGAATACCCGTTTAAATGGTTATCAATTATCTTTTATGTTTAGATTATCATACAATAAAATAATTTGTTTCACACCGATATTTTTGGAATGTAAGAAAAATACAAGTAACATACATGAAAAATGTATTGGGATTAAAAAAACAACAGTTTGAATGGTCGACAATGGTGTTGCAACATGATTTGAACTTGTGTGTTTATAATACTACTAGGTACATTCTAATGTTTTGCATTACAGAGTTTTCGGCAGGAAGAAAATGTAGCACTCAATATAGAATATCGAATAGAAACTTTAATCCGACCGATACATAACATTTTCGTGAATAACAAACGAATTTTCAAGAATTGTTTTATCGAAAATGTCTGGTCCGACTTAGGGTGGAATAAATCCCACGGAAAAAAATAAAAAAAAATAAAACCAGGACATTCCTATATACAGTGTAGAGTGGGTACATGTCCGTCTTGTTTTGTTCCGAACCAGAATTTAGTTTTGTGAAAATTGGGTTTTTCACAGGACAATAGCCCAATTCAAAAATTGTCTGAGTTTACAGAGTGTGACATGAATTGTGGCCATAAATCTAGTTGAAGTTTTTTTTTCAATAAACAATAATGAATAAAATTTAATACATTTAATAATGTTTCGTAATTTTTGTTTGCGGGAGCTCTATTTAAAATAGTTATAACGATTTTACAAAATGTCTTAACTTTGTAATACAAAATGACGACGATTCATTAGTATATTTATAAATATATTTATAAATATATTTTTTTATATTATTTAACAAGTAACAAAGTCCTTGCGGATGTCGATCAATAGCAAGCTGTGAAGTAGATCTCAGCCCTCTATAATTACATACTTATTATATATAATATTTCGATTAGTATTATATGGTAATATTAGTTATCTGTTGGCATAAAAAATTAGTTAATTTAGGAGCTCACATTAACTAAAATTATTAAATAAAAAAATATGGATACAGATAGATATAAAATACTATGGATATTAGTGAAACTTAAACTATAACAGTGCAATACTTAAAATTGTATAAAAACGGTTCGAAGGTATATTTAAATAAATGTGATAGTAATATAGTATTATTGTATTGACAAATAAGATGCAGAAAAATACAAAATTAGCATCTGGTATGTCTATGGTATTACTATTTTACACGAGCCTACCGATTTTTATTTCTAATTGTTTTTGAAATCACATTTTAATACGTATTAAGTATACTATGTGTAATTACCTATATATTTAAGAAA